GCGGCGTTGAGACCCGTACCGTGTCGACCGACCGCGGCCGACTCGACTTCGACCAGCTCCGCGCGGCGTGCGACTCACGGACGCGTATCGTGTCGGTGAGCTGGGTAGCATACGCCAGCGGCTACCGCCAACCGCTCGACGTGGTCGCGGATATCGCCCACAGCGCTGGCGCCCTGTTTTTCCTCGACGCAATCCAAGCCACGGGCGTCTTCCCGCTCGATGTCAGCCAAACCGCGATCGACTTCCTCGCCGCCGACGGCCACAAATGGATGCTCGGCCCCGAAGGCGCCGGTTTTGCCTACATCCGGCAAGAGCACCTCGACAAGCTGCGGCCGCTGGGCGTCGGCTGGCACAGCGTCAAGGCTTCGGGCGAGTTCGGGCGGATCGCGCTGGACCTCAAAGACTCCGCCGCGCGCTACGAAGGGGGCTCCGCCAATATGCCCGGCCACTTGGCGCTAGGGGCGAGCCTCGACCTACTAACCGCCCAACCCACCAACGATGTCGCCGCCGCGGTGCTCGATGTGACGGACTACCTGTGCGAGCGGCTGGCGTCGATTGACGTCGCGGTCGCGTCGCACCGGGGTATCGAGCAGAACGGCCACGACCCGCGCTCCGGCATCGTCGTCGCCGACCTCACCGACCCCACCGCTGCCCGCCAGCGGCTCTTGGACGCCGGATGCGTCACGAGCGTTCGCGGGGGCCGTCTGCGGATGAGCCCGCATGGTTACACTAGTTACGAGGATGTCGATCGACTGATCGATGTGTTGCGCTGATCCCCCTCCCCATTTTAGGGGAGGGGCTAGGGGAGGGGTCTGCGGCGTCCACCTACAAAGCCATACGCCTCCACTCTATCGACGCAACAACGATGGCGATCTGAACTCCGATCGACACCCCCTACCCTCCCCTAGCCCCTCCCTAAAACGGACGGGGAATACGAAGCACTCCGAGGGCTAGCGCCCACGGCTCAGATCTGAACTAGTGCGGCGTCAAACTAATCCGCATTCCGCAATCCCCCGTTCTCTAACTAACGGCCGAAATCGAATGTCTCGCCGCGCCGTCTACACCGGGTCGTTCGACCCCGTCACGCTCGGGCACCTGAACGTGATGCAACGCGCCCGGCTCGTGGCGGACGAACTGATCGTCGGCGTGGGGCACAATGCACACAAGACGGCATTGTTTGATGTTGAAGAGCGGGCCGAGCTGGTCGAACGCGCCGTCAAGGCGGCGGGGCTCGATCACGTCCGCGTCGAAACCTTCGACGGCCTCGCTGTGCGGTTCGTGCGGAAGATGGACGCACGGCTCATCCTCCGCGGTGTGCGGTCCGTCACTGACATGGAAGCCGAGTTCACAATGATCCTCGCCAACCGCAAACTCGACCCGGAGATCGAGACGATCTTCTTCATGGCCGGCGACGAGTTCAGCCATGTGTCGAGCACGCTGATCAAGCAAATCACTCCGCTGGCGAGCGACGACGAGGTGGCGAAATTCGTCCCGCGCGAGATCATTCCAGCCCTGCGCGCGAAGCTAGGTGGGTGAGTAAACCGCAGTGGCGCACTCAAGCCTCGAACTTGAACCGCACGTAAACCTCCGCCAGCGGCAGTTCGACCTCGATCTCATCGAGCGGGATGACGGCTTCGTGGCCCATGTAGAGCGGGGCTTCGAAAGAGTCGAGGTCGGCGGCGTCGACGCGGCGGCGGTAGACGCTCACCTTCGCCTCGTCGGGCTCCACCAATAGGTAGGCCTTCAGCGATGGGATCGTCAGGTAATTCTCGCGCTTTTCGAGTGAGTCCTGGCGGCGTGTGCTATCGGAAAGAACTTCGACGACAATGGCCGGCTGGTCCTGGAACACCGCGTTGCCAGGGTTCGGTTCGCAATCGACCATCGCGTCGAGGTAATAGAAAAAAGTTCCCGATG